TCTGTCTGTCTGTCTGTCTGTCTGTCTGTCTGTCTGTCTGTCTGTCTGTCTGTCTGTCTGTCTGTCTGTCTGTCTGTCTGTCTGTCTGATTATCTGTCTGTCTGTCTGTCTGTCTGTCTGTCTGTCTGTCTGTCTGTCTGTCTGTCTATCGCATTTATATTCCCCCCTATCCCACGATGGGCTCAGGGCGGCTCACAACAGAGATAAAACAATAAGTATATGATTTAAAAACCGATTAAATAAAAACAGGATGGCTGCAAAAAATAACATCAGAGCAGCCTAATACCCTTCTTGTTAGGTGTTAGTAGGACAGTAGGCATCCGCAGGCCTACTATGGGTAGGGGAGGCCAAGATGGTAAAAAAAATCCACCGCCTCAACCAAAGGCCTGGCAGAACAGCTCCACTTTACAGCCCCTGCGGAATTGTAGCAAGCCCCATACGGCCCCGGTCTCAATGAGGAGCGTGTTCCACCAGGCAGGGGCCAAGGCAGAGAAGGCCCTGGCGCCAGTCGAGGCTAAGCGGACGTCCTCCAGGCCAGGGACTACCGGTAGGCAACGCTCCCTCTAAGCTGCGGAGTCTTGTGAGCAAAAATTCTACTTTGCGAGCTACTGGCATTGAAGCTGTGAGCGAGCGATTTGGCTACTGCTGCATAAATCAGTTTGCTCTGGAGCCCTCCTTCCTGAGCTAAGGCAAAAACGTGTGAGCCAGAGGCTAAAAAACTGTGAGCTAGCCTCACACTAACTGAGCTTAGAGGGAACGCTGCTCTGGAGCCCTCCTTCCTGAGCGAAGACAAAAACGTGTGAGCCGGAGGCTAAAAAACTGTGAGCTAGCCTCACACTCACTCAGCTTAGAGGGAACATTGCCGGTAGGTGTTGTTCAGCGGAGCGCAAGGCTCTCCGGCGAATATACAGGGAAAGACAGTCCCGAAGGTGGTTTCAATCTCGTTTCTTGCTTGAATCCACTGTCGTTAAGCGACCACCTTACCAATTCTCTGAGAACACTCTCGGAAGAAAAAACACAGAGCTGGAAGGGACCTCGGGGGGTCATTTATCCAGTCCCCTCCACTCCCCAGTGACCCCTGCTCTATGCCTAGAGTACTCTCCTGTGTGCACTAATTCAGGATGACACAACACACCCGCACAGTCAAGTGTATATCTCCACTATAAACCTTGTATCCGTTTAATACCGCTTTTAACTGCTGTGACTTGCCCCAAAGAACCCTGGGAAATGTAGTTCAGGGAGGCTGCGGTCAAACATCCCTTACGATCCCCTCTCTGTGGCGATCATTCCCACAGCGCGAAGGACCAAGAGACAGAGCGATAAATCGAGAGACGCACCTAAGTTTGCAACTCGTTCCTGCCAAGGTGGCGTTACGTGATCCATTCTCTCCCAGCCTTGATAACGATATTGACCGACTTCACAAGGCTGTGAATGCCATAAGAATGGCAAGATAGTGTAGGGCCTTCTCAGTGGCGGCTCCTACCTGGTGGAACGAGCTCCCGGAGGATATCAGGGCCCTGCGGGACCTCTCGCAGTTCCGCAGGGCCTGCAAGGTGGAGCTCTTCCACCAGGCTTTTAATTAGGAGCCGCCCACCACTACCAACACCAACACCAACTACCTCATGGGAACATGGGGTATTGGACTGTCCCATTACAAGATCGAGCCACAGTGCTTTGACTGACCGTATCACCGAATCGGGCTCGGAGCTTCATCTACAGGCTACCGTCTTGCTTTGACTGAATGCTTTATTAACACCGCTGAACACTTTATGTTGATAATGGTTGTTTTTATGTGTTTTAGGTGTTTTACTGTTTATACTGGCACATGGTGCCCTTTTCGTGAGCCACCCTGAGCCCGTTCGCAGGGAGGGCGGGGTAGAAATATAATAATAAATAAATAAATATTGAGTGCTTTAAACACTGTAAAAGCACTACGTAAATAAGAATTATTACGAATAATAATATGGAATAGCTGTTAAAACAGTTAAAATATATACTGTAAATAGCCTCATGAGTATTTGTGGTGGTATCCTGAACTAGAACAACTAACCTCTCCTCCAAACAATGCCTTTCTACCCTCCACATCGGACAAACAGGCCAATGCCTACCCAAAAGAGTAAGTGGACATAAATCTGACATTCAAAAACCGTAATACTCAGAAACCAGTGGGATAACATTTTAATCTTCCAGGGCATTTTAATACTGACTTAAGAGCTGCAGTTCTTCCATACAGAAGCTTCAAAGGGAGATTACAACCTAACCAGAATTCATTAACAAGTTCAGGATCATGGACCCTACAGGGCTGAATAGGGACACAGGATTATAACGGATGCTAATTTTCTGCATTTCTTAGTTCATCCTTGCTCAAATCAAACGGATTATATTTTGTCCTATGCCTTTGCATCCTGACTCCAACTGGCTGTTCCTTGTGACATTTCACTCACCTGCTAACCAGGATATAAGAGCTGATGGATCCTCATCAGATACAAATTAGAACAAAGTGGGCTTTGACTCAGAAAAACTTATACCCTGGAAGTCTGCTGGTCTTTAAGTTGCTACTGGACTCAAATTTCAATCCCCCTTGAAGGAAGTCTAAATGCCTTTCAGATATGCTCAAGAGTATATCTAATAATTTTGGCCAGTTTCTGAAGGTTTCAATGAAGGAGGAGGAGGAGATTGGATTTATACCCCGCCCTTCACTACCCGAAGGAGTCTCAGTGTGGTTTACAATCTCCTTTCCCCTCCCCTCCCCACAGCAGACACCCTGTGAGGCAGGTGGGGCTGAGAGAGCTCTTTCGAGGACTGCTCTTGAGAGAACAGTTCTGCGAGAACTTGTGACTGACCCAAGCTTACACCAGCAGCTGCACATGCGGAGGAGTGGGGAATCAAACCTGGTTCTTCCAGACTTCCGGTTTATGGCGACACGCAGGCAGACACATCTCCCGGACGTCCCGGGGATGTAAACTGCACACCAGCGTGTGGGAGGGGGTCCGACAGGTCGCGACCCCCCCGGAGCCTTGGTAAAAGGCTCTCAGCCAGGGGGCTTTTGAGGGGCGACCTCTTCGATGGCCGAAAGCCGGAGAATTTGAGGACTCCCCCTCTGAAAAGGGGGTGGCTGCCCCCAAAAGTTCATACAAACTGAGGATTAGCAAAGATAAGAATAAATAAGGGCTGAAGGATTCTGATTTGTGCTTGAAAAAATGTTGAAATAACTTGGGGATGCTCTGGGAACTTCTTTAAACAGTTAAAGCGATGGTTAAACAATAATTAATCTAGCATAACCGACTAAATTCATTGTATTATTAGTAGTATTTTGAAAATAGCATGGTGATAAACTGATGTATTGATCTCCTACCCTTGGGTTTTTAGTTAGTTGTGGGTCTTTTGTCTTTTTTCCATAGATGTAGTTCCCTTCCCTATATTTTCTGTTGTAGTTTTGTAGTCTGTAAAAAAATCAATAAAAACCTCCCCCCAGGGGGATGAAAAAAACCAAAAAAACCCACCCCAAAACCCAACCTGGTTCTCCCAGATTAGAGTCCGTGCTCCTAACCACTACACCTAATTTAAGGTAGAACAAGGATTTTTAAAGCTTATTTTTAATATGTATTTATCCATATGACTGCCTCCAAAGAGAAGAAGGTATGTGACAGACGAGACAAGTGGGAGCCAGCTGTGGTGTAGTGGTTAGGAGCACGGACTCTAATCTGGGAGAACCGGGTTTGATACCCCACTCCTCCACATGCAGCTGCTGGGGTGACCTTGGGTCAGTCACAAGTTCTCTCAGAGCTGTTCTCTCGAGGGCGGTTCTGGAAAGAGATCTCTCAGCCCCACCTGCCTCACAGGGCGTTTGCTGTGGGGAGGGGAAGGGAAAGGAGACTGTAAGCCCCTCTGAGACTCCTTCGGGTAATCCAGTCTCCTCCTTCTCAAGGAATCCAATCTCCTTCTTCTTCTTAGGGAAATGGGATTCCTGGATATAGTTAAGCCCAACGCCCCTGGAATTTAAATCTAGGTTTCGTGCTGATGGATATCCCTTTCTGGGCATTCTGCACAGGGCGGACATTTATGCATGCCACTGCGAGGTCCTGATGGGGGACGCTGTTATCAGTTAACCTCCCAAAGAATTGATATCTGAAGACAACACCACAGACCGCCACTCACTTTGCTCGCTTGCTGCTGACTGGCTGCTGTAACGGGCACTGAGACCGGCATGATAAGCGGGACTGCGGCGGCTGCATCGTCCAAAGGTTTTCTGCTTTCGGGAGGAATATCTCCGGCCCCCACTAGCTTGAAGGGCAGTTTCTGAGCCTGCAGGTGTTCTGCCTCAAATGCCTTAAGCGAAAGGAAAGAGGGGGGGGGGAGGTTCCGGTCATCCTACAATCATCCAGGCCATCTAGTCCAACCCCCCCTGCTCAGTGCAGGATCAGCCTAGAGCATCCCCCCTCCCCAAGAGAATTCGTCCAGCCGCTGCTTCAAGACGGCCAATGAGGGGGAGCTCACCGCCTCCCCAGGCAGCCGATTCCCCTGCCGCACAACTCTGACTGTTAAAAGGTTTTCCCTAAGATCTAGCCGGCACCTTCCCGCCCTTAATTGAAACCCATTCTTGCGAGTCCTCTCCTCTGCTGCCAACGGGAACAGCTCCCTGCCCTCCTCTAAGGCCCAGTCTGCATCTAGCATTTGCTCTGCTGTTATACCAAACCCACACTGGAACAGAAATTCCCGTCTACATCGCATGCCACTTTCGCTTTGATTGAGTGTCGCATTTTACGGCAGTGTCCAGACTGCAGGCCCGCTTTCACTTTGTTTGATCTCTGGTTTTATGGTGGCTGTCTGCATAGATTTATGGCCGTTTTATGGCCATTGGGGGCGGTGACTCTGCAGTCAATACAGTGTTGGGGGGGGGAATAGTTGAATGTGGTTTTGAACTGCATCTTTTTCTGTTCCAGTGTGGGTTTGGTAAAACAACTGAGCTAATGGTAGATGCAGATTGGGCGACAGCCCTTCCAGTACTTCAATTCAGCAATCCTGTCCCCCCTCAGCCTCCCCCTCTCCCAGAATGAACATTCCCAAGTCCCTCGGCCTCTCCTCGTGGGACTTCTTCGCCTCCAGGACAGTCCTGAGGCTAGTTATTTTGTTTCTGCCCTGCTGCTTCCCAGAGTTTGGAGGCAGGTGACAACAATTTGAAGTTTAAAAAGCGCAAACGGGAACAGAATAATCCATGAAACATACGGCTGAAACCCTTTCCATATTCCTGC